TTCGAAAATAAATATGATTTTTTCAATAGTATTTTTACTATGTTGAATTATAAATCGGAAAAATAAAATGAGATTCTCTTATTTTAACTTTGAAACCCCCTAATGTCAAACTTTGACCAAAGTTTCTAACTTTTACAAAATTAACCAATTATATTCCTAGCTTTGCTATACAACCGTTTCGGCCAAATAATTTTCTTGCCCTTTTTGGCCACGGCCAATGGCCGGCCAAGTGGCCGAGTGACAACACGATTATTTGAAATGTGACAAAATCATGTATGTACGTACGTACATTATTAAAAATAGTAAATTTGGCCTATAGCCAGCATAATTTGGCCGGTTTTATAATTGTTTCTTATTTTAGACTGTCTTGCAACTGTCTTGCGTTTTCAAAATAGGAAATCAAAATAAGAATTTGATTGATTTAAATTCAAGATGATCACATAACGATAATTGGTATGCAATTCGAAAATATCTCATTAATGAAAATGCGTTCAATCCGCCCATATGAAATAAAATAAAAGATATTCTGTCTATGAAGTGTATTCTTTACAAAGTATCCTCGATATCCACATCCAACTTTTGCGATAATTTATACAGTAGTTTTCAAAATTAACTTAAAGTTTATTTATGACAAATAACAGTAAATTATTTTTAAATATATTCTTTAAAAAATTAGAATTTATATCAATGCAATGATAAAATATCGAGAACTTCTATTTGTACACAAGCAAGCGTACACGGGTATATAAAAGCCAACCAATATCTCAAAATTTTGATTATGAAATCATCTAACAAAAAAAAATTCTTGCGAAAACTAACTTTCGCCCCAATCCAAAATTCTAAGTATAAGCAAGAATTAAAGTTTTTATTTGTAAAAAAAGTTTTTTTTTCTTATTTAACCCCTTGATGTTGTATGTACATCATGGGACGTCATGTAAAAATTGGTTTGTATAACATGTTATATAGATTTGCAAATTAACTATTAATACCTGTGTACATACACCTGTATCTATTTTACTATAGAATTATATAAAATCTATAGTTTGCTTTAAATGAACGTGTGAAGCGATGTTAAACTTTAACTTTATTACACAATCTTGTTAATGTAGTTATTTTCAGATTTAATTGATACAGTAAATCTCAAATACGTGAAAAAGTTATTAAACTTGTTGAATTGTTAAGGAAAAGTTTTAAGTCTATTTATCTGTTTATTAAAGAAAACTTCAAAAACAAATTAATTTCTATCCGTAATATTTAATAACATGGAAAAATAAGATGCATCATGTAGACATTTAACATTATTCAAGATTGACAGATCTCGATGAATATCTTTGAACAGTAGGAGACTGGTAAGCAGCTTCAGACCTAGTTCGTGATCCCCAAGAACGTTGATTATGATGCGCCGAAGTTTGCTGCAGAGAATGAGCTCTTCCACCACTTTGATAAGTATTAGCATTACTTTGTTGTCTGGCAATCATGCTTAAATCTTCTATTAGGATATCATAAAATTCAGGAGATTCATTACGATGAAGTTGAATTTCTTGTTTCAGATTATTAATAATTAATTGTGCTCTAGCATAATTGCCATTTTCAGCAAAATTAGAAGCATCTAAAATTACTTTTGAAGTAAGATAACGATATTTTTGCTGAATTACTTGAGAGTTGATAGGGTTGTCAGATGGATCGATTTCGGAAGTAGTGTGGATTATTTTTAGAGTTGCAGGAGATTCAAGACAATTTATTCTAATTCCTTTGTGAATATCAAAGTAATTAACATCCGCATCAATGATTTTAAGTTCATTTGATTCAGAATCATCATCAGTTTCGGTAGGTAACATTTTGACCAAGAATAATAAATCTTTCTTTTCGCCAGCGTACAAGTTATGAATATTAATCTGAGCACTGAGCATATTATCACTAATAGTGTTGTCATATTTGCTAAGTACTTCAGATATTTTAACGTTTTTAATTGTTTCAGGGATTCGTAAAAATAATTTTACGTCACAGCATGAAATGCTTACAAGACCACCAATGCAACCAGCAAAACATTGTTTAATTTGTTCGAATTCATAAATATAAGTGAAACTTCCTTCCGTTTTTACAGAAACAGTATGGAGTTTTCTTGAATCATGATCAGATCCATAACCAAATGTGTGAATAGAAATCCTGTATAAGAGATCATATAATTAATATTATTGTATAGATTTTTTTGCTCATATTGTGTGTCAATTTAAAATTTATTAGAATAAAATGCAACGTAAACTACTGCCGATTTATTCTAAACTGACATTATAAACTGACGCACTATAATCAAAAAATGAACGAAATACTTACTCTGCTTCACGAGCTCTTTCATATAAATGTTCATAAGATTGTTCCTTATTATCCATACCATCAGAAAGTAAAATCATTCCAGTAATAGGATTCTTTGTTGTTCTTTGAGTTAAAATATCCAAACCTAGATTTCAAAATAATAAAGTTTAACTATATACAGTAAAAAATATAGCAAAAATGATGAAATCTTTAAACAATTAACACACCTAGTTTAAGACCATTTCCAATATTGGTACCACCATTAGCTCTCAAATTTCGAATAGCTTGATAAAGTTTACTTTTATTCTCTTCATTTACATACAATAATGGAGTGATACGCTTTGCATAAGTATTAAAAGTTACTAAACTTAATCGATCTTTTGGTGAAAGTTCACTGACAATAAAATTTAAACTCTCTTTAAGGAGATTAATTTTACTTCCAGACATTGAAGAACTAACATCTAATATGAGAACTATATCGGCATGTGAACCGGTCTCCTTCGCTTCTTCTGGAATGTAATCGCTTGTTACAAGTGAAGCCATACATATCATTTCTTGTGACTCCGTATTAGGTACTATTTTATATGTTGAGCTAAGGCTTACACTAAGAGCTGGTTCACTTTTGGATGTTAATGTGGGTTCATTGGTGTTTTGACTTTCATTAATAATAACTCTATCGTCGTCTTCAGGTACATTGGTATCGCCATTATAACTAGGTAATTGAGTGGATGGAGATACAGACTTATATGGTGGTGGTGGTGTTCCATTGTATTGATGTGAGTGAAGAAGCGTCGAAGTAAAAAGAGTTGAAAAGCGGTTACTAGATGTTGAATTATCTTGAGACATTTTTTATAATTTTTTACAATTTTTTACACTTTTGATAATGATAACGATAACATGTTCAATGATTTTATTTTATAATCAACCCGGAAAAAGTGCTCCGATTGTCCGGAATTAATAATTGTTAACATTTAGCTGTATTACAAAATGTGTGTAGTTCGGAATTTGTAATGTGTAATTGTTTTCCTCAAAACATTGTCTCTTAGTTTACAAAATAACCTGCAGAATACAGTAGAATCAATATCACTATTTTAATTAATTTCATTAGGAGTCAGCTGTCCTCTTTATCTGAGAGATTAATCATCCCACAGTCACTTCTTATCGTTATAGACGTCTAGGCCGAATTAGGCTAAGCCAATAACATTTGTGAGAAAAAAAATTGAATTAACGTTCGATGACCTGACCGTATATACAGTATACCGATACTGATATAAATAATATGAAAATGGCATTCCCTCAACGATGATTAATATCACGTCATTTGTTATTTTTTAAACAATAACGATAACAAAGCAATTCATTTTATTGAACACTAAAATATTCCTAATCATTGTTAACCTTTTTATCCGCAGTTTGTGTATCATAAACTTACCTTATTTTCCTATATTTTCCTATAGCTTCCTAATTTGGTTTTTAAGCTTTTAAAAGCCAACATTAAAAACTGTACGTACTGAAAATACGTACGTATTATAATTATCAAAATAGTCATCATTGTACGGAGTTCGGCTAATATAATCCAAAATAACCCCCAATCACGTATCTAAGAATATTACTGTATGTACGTATATGTATATCGATTCAGTCGGGGTATTCTTTATATAGTCGTAATAACCTTATTGGGAAATAGGCGTTTCTAAGAACCCGCTAGTATGATATAATAGAAGAGGCTTCCTTTGTGTCAGTACGTACGTAGGACGTTTCTTCTAAATATAAATTAGAGCCCACTGTTAACCAATAATTTTCCCTTAACTATATAATTGAATATGCGAATGTACGTACGTACAGTACATGCGTACCAGGTACAGATCAGAGCCAGTGGATTTTAATAGTAGCAAAAATAGCACTAGCAATATCACGACAACCACATAAACAAATCTGACCGAAATTGTTTTACTTTAATTCCTATGTATTTATAGAATTAAAATAAAACAATTTCGGTCAGATTTGTTTATGTGGTTGTCGTGATATTGCTAGTGCTATTTTTGCTACTATTAAAATCCACTGGCTCTGGTACAGATCTGGTCATAGCGTTCGCCTTATTATTGGCATGTGTCATGTCTTTGATCTACGTATCAATCAATCTAGCTAAAAAATTTCGAAATTTCGCAAGGAAAATGTTATGCTTTCGGATTCTTTTTTAGAAACCGATAATCGAATCTCCTAGAATCGATTCTAGAACCGAAGGTCAATACTAAATAGGATCTTTGCTAGAAAATCACCCTTCGAGATTTTCCGATCGGGCTAATTCGGAAAAGGCTTAGATCAGAATGCCGGTTCTTATTCAAATGTAAACCATCTTTTTACTTTACTAATTCGACAGTTTACTTAATAAACTATCGATAAATAAAGCAAAAGGTGATTTACATATGAAAAGAACTGGAATTCTGGTCTAAGCTTTTCCGAATTAGCCCAATCGGAAAATCCCGAAGGGTGATTTTCCTAGCAAAGATCCAAAAAATTATAATATGTTCGATATACATACAATGTTGTCTTAATTTTTGACCACCTGCACAAAGCAGGCCGGCTGTAAATATGAAAATTTTGAAAATGGCAGGATTCCGTGGGGCGGGTTGGCTGGGTGCCGAATATAGCATGCTTTTCCAGAGTTGCTGTTGGGCGCTGTTGACCTTATAACTGCAAAAAAAAATCACATTAAATATCCGCATCTGATACCTCAAATAGGCAATTGATTAAATTCTACTTATCTGTC